ACGTCCTGGCGCAGCCGTGCAACCTCCTCCTACCGATGGCGGCCATCCTCATGACGCTCAGGACGGTGATGAAGATGGTTGGCCTGGTGTGTTTTTTTTTTTTCCGGCGCCCTCTCGGCGCGCCCGCTCTTCTGGTCCGTTTGGGCGGTGGCGCTGGACTGGGCGCGAGGGGGCGGCCCCCCGCGGAGAGGCTGCACCAGGGTGCCGAGCAGCCGCGTATCCCTGCGCAGCTTCCCGCGGAGCGGAGGATCCCCTCAGCCCTGCCTGCGGCCCCGCAATTCCATGAGTCCTCACAGGATCGTGATGCCCCCGTCTTCAAGCCGACGGTCACCACCCACCAAACCACCCCAACCCAACCCGAAGGCTCAGATTTACCCTCGATTTCTAGTGGGGGCGGGTCCGGGAACATCGAAAAACACATATGGAGCCCATACCCCCCCCAACCCGAAATTCGGGTCTTCGGGTTGGGTTGGGGTGGTCTGGTAGGTAGTCAGACGGTCGCGGTTGCTGCTCCCGCCGGTTGTCTTCATGTGCAGTTGCGCGGTGCGGATTTCCGCAGCGATTCGGGAGGCATCTGCCGTGGAGTACACGTCGAAACTCATGTAGGAAAAGTTGAGGAGGTTTGCAATCATTGCGGAGTTTCATGGGTGGGCTGAACGTTGCATCTCGTGATGATCGAGCTTGGCCACGCTCGGAACCTATCTACTGTCCTGGGCCGAATGAAGATGGAGTTGATAGTTTTGTTTTTCTTCAATCTCTTCACGATTATGCTTTCCATTACGTCCCCTCGTCTTTCTGCAGGGTTGTTTGTCCTCACTTTGAAGCTGGCCAAGGCAAGATGGTTCATCAAGTTATTGAGCAGGTCCTTTGCGGAGCTCAGGGTTTCCTTCCTCGTCCTTGCCCCGCCAGGTGGTGTGTGAGATTGCGTGGCGTGATGGACCCCCGCCGGAACCCGTTGGTGCATCAGTTTGGAGTCTCTGTCAGGCGTGCGGATGGCCGCTCGAACTCTTTGTTGGGAGATCTGGCGCTGTTCTGGAAGGGGGCGTATGTCGACCGCACAAGGAAAATTGCAGCAGTGGTCGAGAACACCTGCTTTTGCATTTTGGTATAGCCTACCGTGCAAGGGTGGTGGCGCAAGCGTGTGATCTACATGAGTGCAATCACCCGTCTAGCACACCTCAACGGGATGTGATGCTCACTGAGATGGCGGTGATGGCCGAGCTTGCCTGAGCCGCGTACTTCCTGCGAATCACGTTCGTGGTCCCAGATGTGTTTTGGGTGGCGCGGTGTACGATCCAGAGGGCGTCACCAGCCGTTTTTTCGGTTCCGCGCGGGCTAGCGCCCAGCGCGTGGTCATACCATGGGCTTCCTGCGCTGAGGGTTTGGTGGCTTCAAGTTCCTCCATGGTGCCAGTGGCATCTTCAACACGGGGTCACTTGGGATACATCATGGGGTGGTGTTGGAGCCCTCCATCTGCGCGGCCCGGCACGCCGGGGGCCTCTCCCCCCCTGCCGCCCTAAAGGGCCCCCCCGTCGTCGGTAGATGGGCGGCCTCCCTTTTTTGGGGATCGAGAGAAAACCTCCTCCCCCGCTGACGTGCCACCGTGCATATTGCCCTCCTCATCCCTGGATTCCCTCCAAATGTCCGACCCTTCGATTCCTCAATGGGCGGCTCTTCCCTGGGGTGCGCGTGCGCTCACAGCCAGCCCCCTATGACCTCTCCAGGGCGCCACTGTCCGAGCCGCGTCCATCCGCGGCGACGCGGGGGGCGCCCCGAGGACCACGACGAAGGCGAGGAGGAGGAGGAGGAGGAGCAGGAGGAGGAGCAGGAGGAGGAGGAGGAGGAGGAGGAGGAGGAGGACGTGGACGACGACGAACCTCCTCCTCATGCTTCGCGCCCGCGCCTCGCACCTCTGAGAGTCGATCCCCGAAGTCCTAGCACGCGGCGAGGAAAAGGAGGCCCCCCTCTCCCCCTGTCCGTCCCCCTCGCGGAGCGGCTCCTCGCCCAGATCCTCGCTGCGGCGAGGCTCGTCTGCGCGTCTCGTCTCCCTCGTCGGTGTCGTCGTCGTCGCCGTGGTGCGTGTCCCTCTGCTCGGGGCTCGCTTCCCTCCTCAGCAGTGCCCACCGCCACCTCCCGCCGGCCCACCCGTTGCGATCGTTCCCTTCCTCCGGCCCCCCCCCTTTTCTCCTCCATTCGACGGCGCCGAGCGCCTTCGCCACGGGCGCACGGAGAGGGGGGGCAGCCTCTGGGCCGTGGCCCCCCGCGAGGGAAGCTCCGCGGCCGCGGGGCCTGCCGGCTCGCACCGCGCGAGGGGCCAAAGCTCTGGAGCATTTCTGCACCTCCCTTCTCCCTCCCTCCCTCCCTCCATTCCCCCCTCGCTGCCTTCCGTTCCTCCTCCTCCCTCCTCTCCTGAAGCTGGATGGCCCCCCTGGCGCGGCCTTTGCCCCAGGGTCTTGAGCCAAAAGGTCCAAGCAGGGTGACAGCATGGGGCCTGTCCCCGCACGCCACCCTGTCACCCTGCGCGGGGCTTTTCGCACAAGTGCAACCACGGATCTGCAAAAACATACAAAGTGAAGACTTTGACAACACGCGTGCCCTGGGTCGGAGAAGGCGGGACAATAGGTATAGGAATGTCCAGAACACGCGTCCCCTTTTGGGGACAAAGTTGCATGACATAGGCCTCTGCGTGCCCTTCTTTTCGGCACCCCGTGGGTGAATGCATAAATGCTGCTTCGACACAGTCTAATAAACATGTGTTGGGCTCTTCTGGGCGTTTTTTGTCTCCCCGCCCCCGGCCTATGCACGAGCTGTGTGGTTTCCTTCCTCCTCTGCCTCCCGCTGCTCCCCTTTCCTCCTCCTCCTTCTCTTCCTCCTCCTCCTCCTCCTCCTCTTCCTCTTGGCTTTCCTTTGTGTAAGGCGCGGGCGCGCGCGCGCCACAGCGGGGCCAGGTGGCTCACACCCCGCGGCCGCGTCCTCGCCCGGGGCCAGATTTGCGCGGGAAGTCGATGCAATGATCGAGCTATGTGAAACGTGGAACGGCATCATCCCCAAAAGCGAATCAGGCATGCGCATCGATGCAATTACTGGCCACTCGACCTGCGCATCGCGACGCGGCGCCAGCTGGGCGAGGCCCCCGGCGGCGATTGTCCCCGAAAGCACCTGGAGACGACGGGCCAGACGAATCGACGGTTCGGTTCCTGCCGGGCAAAGCTCCTCGCCGCGATTGTCCCCTGGCCCGCCCTTCCGACGTTCCCGCCCCTCCTCCCTTTCTTCCTCTTTCCTGTCCTTTCTCCTTCTCGCCGCGCGTGGGCGAGCAGCCGAAAGCGGGGGGGGCCATGGCGGGGGACGGGGTGCATGTCGAGCCGCTCCCTGACCAAATCGCGCCGTTTTCCCGCGGCGCGTTCCAACCTCGCCCTGGGTCTCTTCCGTCTGCGCCCCCACCCGTCAGCTGCAAGAAGGGCTAGGGATAGGAGGGGGGCCGCGGCGCGAAGTAGACCAGATTGTTGGCGAATTCCGCAAAACAAAACAATATCCCCTTTGCGGGCAAACAAGCGTTTCGCTTTTGGCGGTCTCCAGCACGATTGGTGGCGCCAGAGGTATCCGACTTATCGCGCGCGGGAAATCTCAGCCGCGCAAAAGATGTCCTTCGGCGCCGGAGTCAACGATCAGACGACCCTCGTTCGCCGATGCTGATGGACTTAAACGCGAGCCGTTTCCTGTGACCAGTCAGCCTTTGCAGTTGGGCCGTGGTGCCTCTGGATTATGCCTTTAACTGTTCCTCGTGCTGCTCGCCTCGCGACGAGGGCGAATTCAAGGCGACTGCTGTTGCGGTCGGCTAAGCGGCGCCGATCTGCCGCACCATGGCCAGCGCGAGCCTGCCGGCTCCGATCCTGCTCCTTCTCCCATCGATCGAACTCGGCTGCGGCGCGCGCGCCCCCGGTGCGCCGCGCGAGCTGCTCGTCGCATCCAGATGGGACTGGCGCCCCCAAACTCATTGCCTATGGCGCTGCCCTTGCCTCTTTGGCTTTGTTCGGGCATCCGTTGCCCTGGTGGCCGGGTTAGAGACGCAGTCCGCCAGCGTCTTTCGGCAGACGCGGCGCGAGTTGGCGCTTGGGGCCGCCTTGCGTGCCGGGGGCGCGCGCGGGGTCGACCTGCGTCGCCGCGGGAGAAGTGGCGCCTGTCGCCCAATTGGGCGCCAGCCGCCCATGTAGAGCGAGCGTTGGATTCACGCATCGTTTCCCTCGCCTTTCTTGCCGCCCCGTCCTCTGCCCTCCTCGTCAGCTGCAGCGGCGCCAGGTGAAAAAGGTGGTCGGCGGTGGCGGTGCGCCCATGATTGGCGCGTCGTGCAAGAGTGCCCACTCGCCCGCCATTTGCTCAGCCATCTCGCATGCACGGCGCGGACGTCGCGCGGGCGCGCGGACGACATCATCTCCAGGGACAAGTGGAGCGGCTCGAGCTTGCCGAGCTGCTTCCGCAGTGACCGCGCTGTTTGTTGGGAGGGCGGAGAGCCTGGGGCCCGCAGCTCGCCGTCGTCAGTCTTCCACGCCAGGAGCGCCTGCTGCAGCATAGTTTGGGCGACCAGTGCTGGGTCAGTGAACTGGTCGTTCCGGGCCGACACGCGCTCTGCACTAGACTTCAGGACGGCCCCCGCAAGAGCCGCCAGCATCGCTGTGCCGACGGCGCGGTCTTCGTCAAAGTAAAGGCACAGTTCCTCGCCCGCGAGCTCGAAGAGCTCGGCTAGGGCCCCGTTGGCTCGAGCGCAAGCCGGGCTGTCGCGCGTCGCCGGCGCGCCCCGGCCCGGGTCGACGAGGGCCAGCTGTGTCGCATCAGCAAAGCCTTCGTTCTGCAGGCCGAGCGAGCGGGTGAGCTTGGCGTTGACCCGCGCGCGCCGCGATTTGACCGACGGAAGGCCCAGGTGCCTTCTGGCAGGGCGCGAGGCGGCCTTCAGCCGCCCCCCCCGCCCCCGCCGCCGCCTAGCCGCGCGGCTGACGGCTCGCGCGCGACCTCTGACAGGCCCCCCCAAGCTCGCGCATGAGGAAAGCGTCCGCGTCAGACGGAACGCTCGGCATAGTCGCCGCGGGAGCTGGCCGCGGCGGCGCAGGCAAACCAGGCGGCCCCCCTGGCGCCCAGCTGGGCGAGGCGCCGCGCCGCGACTACCTGCCCTGAGGGGCGCGGGCGTGGCCGGCGTCCGCGGAGGCGGCCCGCGCGTATTTTCTTGCGCAGGGAAGCCGTGGATATTCTATCGCATGTGCTCAGGAGCTCAAGCTACGCGGGGCGCGGAGATGACAGTGTTCGCGCGTGTGAGTGGGCTGCGAAACATGGTTGGAAGCTTCCTTAAACTCAGAGGGCCTATCTGGCGTTGGAGACGCGCCACTTGCTCGGGTGGGCATTTTCGCGAGCAGTCATTCTGGCGCGTCGATTCCCTCGGCTTGGGAAGCCACGGAGTGACATCTGCTAGAACGGCGTCATCGCCATCGGGAATCCGAAGAGACGCAGCATCCGCCATTCCGATCGGTCGCGCGCGCAAGCAAATTCAACTGGGCGTAATCGGGCGCCGCGAACGAAGCGTTCCTGACCCGAGATTGGCGGGGCCCCCGGGCGCGGCCACTGCACCTTGGGGTCCTGGGCCGGAGGGCCCAAGCAGGGCGGCAGCATGGCGGCGGTTCCTGCGCCTGTCCGCCTCCGCATCCTGCCCCCTGCAAATTGTTCCCTTCGTCGCTCCAGACGGTGGTCGGCAGCGCGGGCCGTGCGTTCCGCCGAGACTCTCTCGCGATGCGTGGGCGGCGGCCCCAATTTTCCAGCAGTTGCGCGGACGGGGCGCCGGTCGTTGAAAACCGCGGAGCAGAGTCTCGGATGGGCGGGGGGCGCTGAAATTGCGAATCCGCCCCGGCGCCGCGCGCCTTTTGGCCGAGACGTTCCAGCGACGATTCGGGTGGATCGCGGGTCGCGATGCAATCCTGGCCCTCGTCATCGCGTTGCGCGCCCTGCGCTCGGAGTCGCCCGCGCGCTGTAACGCGGACAATCTTTTTTCGAAGGGAATCTCTTGAATGTCACCCCCCCGCGCGCGCGCCCCCCGAGATTCCCAGAGGCTCCTTTTCGTTTATTTTAAACAACTGCAGTTTTTCGTTTTTCATCATGGCTTTCGTCTTTCATCATTGTTTTCGTCTTTCATCATGTGTTTCGTCTTTCATCATGGTACTTGTACATCATCAAAGTATCACAATGCATCTTATTCATCAACATGATTATATATCGAATTCGCCACTACGCTGGACCTCCCATGGGCGCACACTAGCAGGTGGCGACAGTTGCTCGGCTGTCACAGCGTCCCCTTTTTCAACTTCCTTCCCCCTCCTCATCCTTTCCGATCCCCCGAATCCCACTCTTCTCCCCTCCTCTCCTCCCCCTTCTCCTTTTCCAGTCGTTCTCCTCATCATCCCTCCTCTTCGTCCACCTCCTTCTCCACCCCCACGGCTCGTCGAGGTCCGAGCCTTTTAGGATGGCACCAAAGGGGCGGCGCTACAGCGATGTGGCGCAGCTGAAGAAGACGCTGTCCAGATACGTGGACCGCGTTGACTGGCTGCAGTACGGCACGAAGATCAAGAAGCCGCACAAGAAGGAGACGATCAAGGAGAAGAAGGCCCGAATCATAATTATGATGGATGTGGAGGAAAGAAGGAGGATAAGGGGATGATGAGGAGAAGGATCCAGGAGGAGGAGTAGGAGGAGGAGGAGGAGATGTTAGATCGATCAGGGTGAGGATGACGATGATGTTCGGAGGAGGAGGAGAAGGAGGAGGAGGAGAAGGAGGAGGAGAAGGAGGAGGAGGAGGAGGAGGAGAAGGAGTAGGAGGAGGCGGAGAAGGAGGAGTAGGAGTATGAGTAGGAGGAGGGGGAGAAGGAGGAAGGAGACGAGGAGGAGCGCTAGGCGCTGCTGTTCGAGCTGGAAGCGCTGACGCCGAACCTGTCGCTGAAGCCAAACACGGTCGGCCACGCGCTGCGAGGCGTCCTCGAGGACAAAGGCTACGCGCTCAGCCCAGCGGAGGCCGACGACTGGGTCGAGGAGAACGGGGAGCGGCTCCGCACACTTTGTGCTCACGCTCGCGAGCTCAAGGGGACCCTCTGGGGCTGCAAATCCGACGAGGAGGATGAGGGAGGATCGGATGAGCCCGAGGAGGGAACTTGAAAAAGGGAAATGGAGGATAAGGAGGAGGATCCAGGAACAGGAGGAGGAGGAACAGGAAAAGGAGGAGGAGGAGGACGGAAGGACACGGAGGACAAGGTGGAAGAAGGTTGGACCCCCTCTCACCTGCCCCCCTCCATCTTCCAGGAGATGGATGTGGGCGGACGAGGGGGGACAACCACGCAAATACCACGCAGGAGACGCGACAAGGCGCCGCAGTGGTTCAAGGACCTGCAGTTCGACGGCGTCGAGCCAGACGAGCAGGACAGCGACGACGACGACCTGGCCGACGCCGCGGACGACGACGACGACGACGAGGAGATCATCACCATGAAGAGGCCTGCAGCAGTCCGACGGCCTGCAGGACGAAGTGGGTGAGGGGGATGAGGAGGAGGAGGAAGAGGAAGAGGAAAGGAGAGGATCACGTGGACGTTGAGGCGAGCCGTCAGGCGTCGGAGGCGGAGGAGGAGGAGCAGGAGGAGGAGGAGGGAGGAGGAGGATGAGGAGGATGAGGATGAGGAAGAGGAGGGGCAGGAGGGGTCCGCCAGGATCAGACGTCTGGGTGTACGGCTACGACACGAGGGTCGAGAACGCGTGGAGGAAGAGGCCCGACGCCCTGCAGACCGAGCTCCCCGAGTACGCGATACGGCTCGTGCCACCGCCAGGTGCGCGCAGCACGGACATGATGATTGCAGTGTACAACGACGAAGAACGAGAAGTACCTCAACTCATGGTGGGAGCATGGAAACATCGACGCGGTCCTGCACAAGGCCAAGATGATGTTCATGTATCTGCAGATGGTGCTGCAGATGGTGCTGCAGATCGCGCTGCAGATGGTGCTGCAGATCGTGCTGCAGATGGTGCTGCAGATGGTGCTGCAGTCGAGAAGGAGAAGTCATACACGTACAAGGACAGCAGGGCCGACGGTAAGGTTGTCCAAGCAGATTTTCGCTGGGACGCTCCTCGAGGCAAGGAGAAGGTCTACTACGCTCGCATTCGGCTAGCGGGCAAGGCGGTGTTCCACATGAACATCGACCAGTTCAGCGGTGACAAGGACGCAGCGTTCGCCTTCATCGTCGACCTGGCGAGGAGGCTCCAGGCAGGCACCATCGACACCGAGGGCTGCGTGACCGCCAAGAACGTGTACGAGAAGAAGCACGAGGGCACCATCGCGAAGAAGCGACCAGCTGCTGCCACATCGCCACCTGCCATCAAGAGACCAGCAGCTGCGACGCCAGCACCTTCGACGCCAGTCCCGCCGACGCCGCCATCGTGCAACCGCGGCGTCTCGAGTCCGATGGCAAGCCCTGCGAGTTCGAGGCCCTTCGCGTCCTCGATCGCGCCAGGCCCGCACTGGCTGGAGGACTAGCCATCCGAGGAGGAAAAAGCTAAGATGGCCTCCATCATCGTGCCCATCCCACTCACCCACCATCCCCATCTCCCCATGGGACACCCCGTCCTTTGTACAGGTCCCCCCCCTCTGCCCCCCCGCAGGGGCCAGTCCGCCCTCTCCCCCCTCCGCCTCCCTCTCGAGATGGAGGGGGGACTAGGGAAATACTATAGCTAGGGATGGGGGTCGAGCTCCGAAACGCCCTTTCTCCTCACTATTCCTTTTCCCCCCCCTCCCGCCTCCACCCTTCACCCACGCCGGTGCAGGGAGGATGGTAGGCGAGTCGGGGTGTAGGGTAATTGCTACCATCGATTGGCATTTTCTGATCGAGTGCACTAGCTGCACGTATATGTTCGAACATCCACCCGGACGACCTCCTGCAGGTGCGATGTGCACACGCGTGCTCGCGGGCCCCCCCGACTCCCCGTCGAACTCCGACGCCAGCGACGAGGGGCCCCTCTCGAATCTCATCGGCAAGCACTGCCCCTCCGACACCATGAAGGAGCGACACCGTTTACACATAAACGTAAAGCATATTCCTCCTCCTCCTCCTCGACCTCCTCCTCCTCCTCCCTCCTCCTCCTCCTGCTCCCTCCTCCTCCTCCTCCTCCTCCTCCTCCCTCCGTCTTGTCCTCCTCCTCATCCTTCTCCTCCTCCTCCCCCTCCTCCTCATCCTCCTCCTCGTTCGTTGACGACCGCCCCCCCCTGATCGAGTGTGTTGTGCTATGCGACTTCGCATGCTCACATGTCTCTACATATCTGCACGTGGGCATGTATACATGCCCACGTGCAGATATGTCGCATGCATTCAAATGCATTCGTATGCATTCAAATGCAGCAGGACGTCGCATGCAGCATGACGGACGAGCTTCGCTCGGAACCTTCTGCAGCGGCGCAGGTGGGGGTGCGCATACGCCCCCGACCCCTTACCCGCCTCCCCCCCCTCCTGGGGGGGAGAGATGAGGTGGGGGAGGAGGGGGAGGACAAGGGAGGAGGAGGAGGAGGAGGAGGAGGAGGAGGAGGAGGAGGAGGAGGAGGAGGAGGAATAGGAGGAGGAAGAGGATGAGGAGGAGGAGGATAGGGAGGAACGGGTCGACGAGGTCGAGTCGGGCGTCAAGGGGCCGAGCGTCAAGCAGGAGATCCAGGTTGGCGAGCCCCCCCCTGCTGGGCATGACCAAGGCGATGAGCATGGCCAAGGTGATGAAGATGGATCCGAAGGCGGTGACCCTGCTTCTGATGATGAGCCAACTCCAACTGAAACTGGAGACATGATGTCAGAGGGCGCTACGTCGTTCGATCTTGGAGCTGAAGCGGATCCACGCCAAGAGGCTTCGCAACTCTTGCAGATCATGATGAGCAGGGAGCTGGCGAACCTCGGCAAGAAGGAGTACATCAAGTCGGTCGACTACGAGCAGCAGCTCATGCAGATGTTCAAGGAGCAGGGCTGGAAAGGAGTGGAGCACGATGATGCAGATCAAGAGGCGAAGGAGGTCGGGCTCACAGGCGACGACAAGAAGTTGTGGGACCTCCTCGACGAAGCTCGCGCGACGGGCTTCATGTTCAACAAGAGGACCGCCCTCGGCAGCAGGTTCGAGCGCTGGATGAAGAAGCACTGGACGCAGGAGGCGCAGAAGCAGCACGAGCAGGCCTCCTCGACTTTCAAGCAGGCCAAGCGCCAGGACTGGGCCAAGGAGCGGTTCGAGTCGATTGAGAAGACGAGGAAGATGATCGAGGAGCACGTGGAGTCCGAGCAGCTGATCGGCAAGCCGATGAACCTCGACCAGCTGATCATAGATCAGGGAGGATTCGACAGGCCGAGTGCTGTGCAGGGAGCGCTCAACATAGCGATGACAATGATACGCAAGGGACCGCCGTTCGTTTCGATCAACCCAGACTCATCGAGAATCGAGTTCTGCAGGCGGGTGAAGAAGACCGTGCTCGACAAGCGCAAGAGCTACCAGAACATCACGACGGAGTCCAACTTCAAGAAGGCCAGAACGGGGACGTCATCGGGATCGGCTGACGAAGGCTCCGCACCTGCCGTGGCCGCACCTGCCGATGGAGATGGATCTGTCGAGACGCCTGCGGCACGCGGCATGCAAGCGGTCGAGGAGACACCGATCAAGGACACGGACAAGGACAAGGAGAAGGACAAGGCTGCGAGGGTGAAGGCCAAGGCGAAGCCGAAACCTGCACCAGGCAAGCACAGCAAGCGGGGCGAGAAGCCAAAGACACCAGAGGGAAAGGCCCTGATCAAGAAGATCCAGGAGACGGTCAACCTCTACGCGACTAGCACCAGGAGCGCGCAGTCGACGGCTCAGCACGGAGATCGACGGAGTTGGACGACGGACGAGGGAGGAGGATGAGGAGGACCTGGGAGGAGGATGAGGAAGAGGAGGAGGAGGGGAAGGAGGAGGAGGGGATGGAGGAGGAGGGGATGGAGGATGGAGGAGCGAGGAGGGGGAATGTACCCAGGGGACCGCTTGGCCGTGTTCGGAAGATCTCCCCGATCCTACCTCCTCCCTCGAGCCCCTCCCTCCCTCCTTAACTCACTCCCCCTCCCTCCTCGATCCTCCTCCTGATCTCCCTCATCCTCGTATCCGAAATCGCATCCCTCTCGATCGGTGATGGCGTGGGTGGTCACACCTAGGTCCGTCATCAAGATCGCCTCCACCGACCCGAATTGGGCTACCGTGAAGGGCTTCGCGCCGAAGATCCAGAAGCAGCTGGAGAAGGTCGAGAACCTCAACTCGGACAACAGCGTTTTCAGCGCGATCATGGTGCACGGCGTCGACTACCAGGACGGCTTCAGCAGCGAGGAGCGCTACGCGGCGTGCACGGCGATCATGGCGCAGCTCGAGAAGCTCAGGACCATGGTGAACAAGCTGCGCCAGATGCACTCGCTGGGCGCGGGCGACGATGATTCGGACTGAGCGCGCATGCAGATGCGCATGCACGACGATGGGCAGGTGCAAATGCACCTGGACGAACGGGGTTTCTGGACAGCTGACCTGGGGACGTTGCAGCTCGACTGGGATTCCAGGGGTACACCTACACTAAAACACTCGACGAGATCGAAAAACAGAGAGAGAAGGTGGCGATCGGTGCACTCTCGAGCCCTAGGCGCGCCTCAGGTCATCAGATTTCCCCCACTGAACCCCCAAACCAGCTGCGGTGATTCTGCAGTGATTCTGCGGTGATCCTGCGGTGATCCTGCGGTGATCCAGCGATTTCGCTGCAGACATCCTCACAAATCGAGCGGTGATCTACCGGTGATCCTGCGGTGATCCTCCGGTGATTCTGCGGTGATCCTGCAGTGATCCTGCTGCGACCCTCCAGAGAGCCCAGCTGGGCTCAAATATCCAAAAAACGCAGCAGCCCAAATCAGTGGAGCAGCACATGACATCACAATTCGAGCGTGCGAGTGGAAGCTGTGTACGGCTCAAGCAGTTCGGGCCATGGCCAAGCCACCGACAATCGAACGAAAACGCCAGCGCCGAGATCTCTCCCCCCCACGTCCAGTACGGCAACGCAGCTGGGAGTCATGTGGAGTCAGCACTTCTAGTTGGGAACGTTCCGAAGTAGGGAGATCAGCTGCCGAGGAAAAAAAGGGGGATGATCTCGCGCAATTTCCACTTGGCAAGTACGCACTTGGGAAACTGAGTGGAAAAGATATATGTACCATATGCAAACTAGCTAGAGAGGCAGGCGCAGCTGGGCATCTCCTAGGGAAGATCGGGTACCACTCGCACACGAACGACGGCAACTTCCAGCGGCACTTAGAAGCTGTCCTACCACAAGAATCTAGAGTCCCTCTATGCAATGTAAGTGTACCTCTTGTTTGGCGTGGACGGCGGCAGGACACTTGGAATTGAAACGTATAATGATGATGTGATGGGATATATATATATATACATAAGAGACGAGGGAGGACGAAAGGAGGAGGACGATCTCGAGGGGAGGGAGGACGAAGGGTTGAGGAGAAGAGGGTTGAGGAGTTGAGGATGAGGAAGAAGGGACTCGAGGATGATAAGAATGACGATGGGGAAGGAGAGAGGAGGGAGGAATAGGGAGTGAAGTTGTTTTAGGTGCTCATGACCTGCGAGCTGCGGGCAAACGCCGCAGTTGGACCAGCGGGAGCGCACTCCTCGAGTGCACTCCCTCCCCTCCTTGCACTTGGACCCTCGAAAAGTATGTTTCCAATGTGGCTTGATCCTGTCGGGGCTCATGTATTGGGTGTTCGGTGCACTTGAGGGGCCTCTCGTTTGCGCGTTAAGCAGTGTCGTGGGGTTCGAAACTAGACCACGTAGTTGCACCATATCCCTAAGGAGAAACTCGTGCCCTTCATCGCTCTGCATGAGAGTTTGGCGCTGGAGGCTGAACACACGGATCTGAGCGTGGCAGACGTCGACAGCTGCTGGACCCTTAGCTTCGAAGAACACCCACTGCGCCATGTGGAGGGTGATCTTCGTCCGTGTTATCCTTTGGCCTTGTACGTCGATGGGGTCCGATATTCGAAAGCCGTTGGTATTAAATGGGAATCGTTGTACAACTTTTCGATTCACAACCTAGCTAGTTCTAAGAGACACTTCTTGGGCACGATATCAAAGGGGGAGGTCTGCGACTGCGGGTGCAGGGGGTGGTGCAGCTTGTACACAGTATTCGCATTCATCGCGTGGTGTTTAGAGAGTCTCGCTCGAGGAGTTCGTCCACAAAGAAATTGGGACAAATCGAACATGTCCGATGGCGACCCCCTCAAAACATTGTATGAGACGGAGCCGTTACTACCAGCTCGGTTTATACTTGTTGATATAATTGGTGACTGGGCTGAGCATACCACAACATTTGGATTGCCCACGTGGAGCGGCCATAAATTTCCGTGCGTATTTTGTGCAGCAACGAAACCCACGCTAGTGTAATGCTAACGCAGTAGCCCGCCGAACCCCGCTCACGCAAGCCAAACCAGATCGACCTCAGGGCTCGTCTCGCTCACGCCTCCGCCACATGTTGTTTCCACCAAGCCCCCCCCCCCCTCCCCCCCTTCTTGACCCCCAGATCCCCCGCAGATGCCATCCTCGAGCCCACCCGCCAATTTCAACTGGGGGTGTGGGGGTGGGCACGCTGGTCCGTTCGCCTCGTCGCGCTGTGGTGTTCCCAAGGTGCTGGGGTGTGCGGGTACAACTTCGACAACGTGTCGCTTCTTGGACACGGTTGGGGTGACCTTGCGAGCACTGTATACGAGGACTCTTGCACAAGATGTGAAATTGAGGTGACTGTGGATTCCGAAGCTGTTAGGCACTGCATTATGCGCGATGGAGGCTTACACTTCGACCGTAACAAATCACGAGGTCGGGTTCTAGAACATGATGTGTTTGTAAAAGGGGTGCAGCTGAAACGATGGGACAGGCTTGAGCCTGGCCCTGGAATGCCGAATGTTGCTGATTTCGAGGGTATGCGTCTGCCGTGCGTGGTTACTTTTTGGAGGAAGCATTTTGAAGGCAACAGGATAGACGATCGAGTTCACAGACGCAACCCAATTTTCTGCCGTGCAACAGGCGTCACTCCACAAAACATGAGGATAGATATGCTACACACGGTGTATCATGGCGTGCTGGCCTCGTACGTGTTGTCTGTGATATGGGGGTCCCTGGACGCAAACATTTGGAGAGTTGACGGCCCTCGCAGCGCAGTTATAAACCAGGGCGTAGACCACATCCTTCTTGATATGAAAAGATGGTACGAGTCAGCGAACATCGACCACTCAGACAGAGTGAACCTCACTAAGAACATGATCGGCAGCGACCACAGCAGAGAACTCAAATTGAAAGCGCATGAGACTGGTACTCTCCTCGCTTGGGCAATCGATCTGTGTAGGCGTAAAGAAGGCGTCCTCCAACGCGGTGGTATTTTGAAGGATGCTGGCGTGTGCTTAGCAGAATACATGGCCGAGCTCAAGGGCAGTCCTAGGGTGGTGCCCCATGCCACGTGCCAGAGGCTTTTAAACCTCTGCATTCGGCACCTCAAACTAGCAGAAGCGGCGGAGATACCATTTCTGCCCAAACACCACATGTTCGTACACCTAACAATAGGCGTACGATGGTTCGGGAACCCGCGTTTTTTTAGCTGTTTCCTCGACGAGTCCCTGAACTCGGTCATAGCTGGTATAGCCCACTCGCGCCACAGGCTCAAGTGGGAAAACACGATTTTCTTCAAGCTGCGTTTACTTCCGCACGTGGATCAGAGCTGTGCGTACGCTGCAGTGTGACTGGCGGCCTGCTCTGGCCAGCCTGCCATTCTGGTGATTGGAGGAGGGGGGGGGGGGTAAGAAGGATGAGAGAGGAGATTCATGTGCGAGGATGGGGGGAGGGATCGAGCAACTGATCAATCGCCTTCCCACCTCGACTGTGGGCCAGGGAAGGCCCATGCGACGATGGGATTGCACGTGGCAGGGACTGATCAATCTAGTCGGTGCATTATATTTTTTTTTTTTGGGCGGCACGGGGTGCCGCAACACAAGCAGCTGGTGCCGATGGGTTAAAGCAAACACGAGGGACCATGATGACGTGTGCTTGTGACGGGGAGGGAACGGGCGCCAGCGTCAGCACGTGATCCACTTTTTGTGGGGCGCGGCGTGCGGCCGTGATAGAACACTCCAGGTTAGACAACAAAAACATCGTGACGATACAATCTCTCGAGGCTACACTGCGAGTGGAATCGCCGATGCACGGCAAGAATTTCCGTGGCCGTTTTTGGCTCAAGCGTTGCATGGCACATTTCCATATCTGCATGGTACCAGAAACCATTCGTGTTGATTCCGATGTCGGCATCCAGACCTGGACCCAAACTATCACTCGAGTTGTTCGAGCCCACGTTGCCTGAGCAATTGGACAATGCAGTGTTCACTATGATGCTCCCAGTCGATGTTGTGCTTCGCCGCGGGGACCCGACGCCAGCAGAAGCAGCAATCTCAGCGTCAGGCCCACGGGTGCAAGTTGCAGCTTCAGGCCCAGCAGTTCCAGCAGTTCCAGCTTCAGGCCCATCAGTTCCAGCTTCAGGCCCACCAGCAGTTCCAGCTTCAGGCCCACCAGCAGATCCAGCTTCAGGCTCGTCAGCAGTTCCAGCTTCAGGCCCCCTGGATGGCGAGGATACCAGCCGCAAACGTCAACGTGATGATGCGGGAGCTGGCAGCGATCGTGAGAATCGTGGTTGGGATCCCCACGTGCTCGGTCGCAGTCTATTGCAACATACTCAGCGACAGATGGAGCCAATCATGGTCGAGGACAGCCTCCCGTCGGCGTCATGGGCCACGCCGTTCGGTCTCGAGCAGCCAGCAGACGAGAATCCATATGGCGACGCCGACGCTAGCGGATCCAGGCAGCCTGAGACCCCACCATGACATTGTGAGAGCAGTTGGTCTAGGATTGTGCGAATAGTCTAGCTCGTCATTGGACGGGCTGATGAGGAGGCGGAGGACTCGCAGAGCATGTGTACGCATTGAGCCTCTCAGCATTGAGCCTGAGCGGATCAGCTTTGAGCTAAACCTGCCACTGATGATGAGGAGGAGGAGGAGGAGTAGGAGGAGGAGGAGAGGGCGGAGGAGGAGAAGGAGGTGGAGGAGGAGGAGGAGGTGAGGGAGGACGAGGAGGAGGAGGAGGGGGGGGGGAAGAGGAGGAGGAGGAGGAGGAGGAGGAGGAGCAGCAATAAGAAATCACCCTAAAATTAGCCCCGTTTGAGGGTGACCCTTGGCGCCCTCTCAGGAAGAAACACAACAAGGAGGAACAGTAAGAGGAGGAGGGAGGACGAGGAGAAGGAAGCGAAAGAGAATGGGAAGGATTATGACGATGATGATGTTGTTAATACTGATGATGATAATGAGGAGGAGGAGGAGGAGGAGGACGAGGAGGAAGAGGAGGAGGAGAAGGATGAGCTGACA